GGCCTCCCCAGGGCTGGGACTACAGGCACATGCCCTGTTTTGGTGGCTGGGACAGCATGCCTTGGGTTCTGGACCCCAGCATGGCATTCAGTACCAGGGATCAAACTTGGGACCTTGAGCATGCCAGCCAGGCACTTATGTAGCCAGGCTATCTCCCCAGTCCATTACCTACTTTTTTGACCAAATTGTATGCCACTTTTCCTCTCATGCAGAACACTCCAGCAGCTAGTATAGCCACTTCCTTTAACTCAGGAATAAAAACAAATTCTCACTGTCTCTTTTTTTCTTCAACCAGCCAATCTTGTTCTTCTATCAGGACATTGGCAGGTGGCTCACTTGGTCTAAAATATGCTGTCCCAGCTTCTCACCCTCTTAGCTCCATTTATATCCTCAGAGTTCCACCACTTCCCCAGTAGGTACTGATCCCTGAGTAGTTCTTTCCTAATTCCTCATTGCCTTCATGTGAGCCTATTTTATTTCCCACACAGGACTTCCCACCATCCTGAATTATCTTGTTTACTGTTTGTCTCCTCCCACTGGAATATAAGCAATGAAAGGAGAGATAAAATGCAAAATTAGAAAAGGGATTAACTGATGAATGAAAGTTTAGGAAAAACAAGACAAGAATAGGGTGGCAAGCCGAAGGGAGGAATGGTAGTGCTATTTCTTCCTCAAAAACAAGAGCATGGGCGGGGGGGACAACCCACTTGGGCCCCCCTCCTGTCCCTCTCTTGGACAGGAGCTTTCTTTCTCTCAATAAATATATTCTGCTCATAACCTAAAAAAACCAACCAAACAAACAAAAAAACAAAAAACCAAGAGCATGGAAGGCAGAAGAGGATGGAAACATCAGTTGGAATGCAACATACAATCCAATAAGGCATGACATGAGTAAGTTGGTTTGGGGAATACTGGGAAAGCCCTTGATTTTTCCCTGCCAGATCATTCTGAATACATATGTTTTATACATAAGACTTAAAAATTATTATTTTCCCCCAATTTTTTTCTCCTTGGTTCTCATAGGCTTAGCAAAGTGAACAAGTGGCCCACATTATATATGAAAAAAGTGTTTTTGAAATTTAAGAACTTTACAGATACTACCGTTACTATTTTACTTAGTTCAAGATTCTAAAAAAGGTACACTTTGTGTGAAGCAGCAGGAAGAAACATCTGGTGGAAATCTGTAATGCTTCCAGCAGGCTTTGACTTTCTTTTTGTGAAATGGTAAATTCAGATTTATACAGTACTTTTTTTTTCACCATGGACTTTAAAATGACTAAGCATTAAATTCACAGAATTCTTCTGTGAAGCAGATTACAATAATCTTATAAGTACATCTTCTTTTGTGAGATAGAAATAAAATTTGCTCCAGACTAAACAGGAAGTCAGTAATACAATTACAGCTACTGATTAATCCAAGTTTTCTATCTCTGTACACATTATATCTTTTACTCTAAGGTTTGGGCTTGTCTTAGTTACTCTTCTCTCGTTGCTGGGACAAATACCCGACACTCAAAATGAAGGAAGGAAAGGTTTATTTA